TATATTCTATATATTCGTCGTAGTATCTAGCGTCTCCGAATCGGCGGTAGCCTAACGCCTCGTATTATACTTAGGTAGTATTCTCCGGACCGTACTCCGATAGATAGGGAGGAAGAATTACTATTATAATATAAATTTATAGAGTTAGGGTAGGCTCGGATAGTTAGGGTAATTATATAGTATAAACAATTAGACGGTAAGCCTACATTAGGAAATAGGTGTAACCCGTTTAGGTAATCCGGGCCTCGCGTACGGCTTTCGCGCTATGCCTAAATAGGGAATCGACCTCTTACCTCTATTATAAAAGGCTTCCCTCTACCGTAATTTTCTATCCCCCTTTTACCGATTGCTCTCTACTCTTACCCCTTCGATCTTTAACCCCTCGCTTGCGCCTAGCTATCTCCCCTTTCTACCTACCCTAACTATCCTTTATATAGTAGTTGTCCTAAACTTAGCTACGCGCTTAGAAGAGTTAGCCTACCTTACTATAGTGCCTATATCTTTCTCCGTCGGTCGTCCCTATCGACTTCGTTTAGTCCTAGTATAGGCTAGCTACTACTAATTTTGCATATACTAAAGTCTACTAGTTTACGTATTTCTAGACTTCTACCCGTAACGTAACGTAACGAGGATGAATTTTAAAGCTAGATATCTCTCCCGTTTCTTACGTCTAGGTTTCTTCCCTAACTCTAACGCTATAGCCTTACCGAGAGCATATCTACGGTTAAGAGAGGAATGCTCGCCCGTCGTACGGTCTACCGCCTTACGGTTCTAACTAATTAGCCTAATCCCCCTCTTGCTTTTCGCTAGCATCGCCGGGATATTAGTGCTTCTATAACGTACTACCTTACCTACGACTTAGTTAAGACAAGTTATATACCGTCGTCTTAACCGTAACTACTCCGCCTCCTATAACTAGCTACTTCTACTAAACATACCCTCTAATCCGCTCCGTTAGCACGCGCTACGCTTAGACTAGTTCTATCTTAATAACGCGGTTAGTTACTTCCTTAAGGCGCTAATCTCGTGCTTATAGTCTTACGGTACTTCGCTACGTATAGCGTGCCTATAGTGCCTATAGCGTTATATTATTAGAGTATAATAAGTAAAGATTAGAGGCTAGGAGAGCGGTAGCTAGTAGCTTATTATTACCGTTCGTGTAGCAAATATAGGATAAAGAGAACCGTACCTACATCTCGCCCTAGCTAGAAAGACAGACTTTCCGGTTAGTAGCGCTTATGTTTTAGCTTTAGTTATCCGGCATTACCTCTTCCTACCTTTAGTCCTTATTTAGAATATACTAGCTAATCTAAGCTTAGCTATTCGTATTATAACGAGGCTAGATCCGTCGGCGATAGCGCGGTCGAACACTTATTGTCTTAGTTATAACGCTATAGTATAACTAGTAGGGGCCGTTTATATAGACGCTAGCAGCTAATAATTCGGCGTTAGCATAGTATTAGACTAAAAAGGCTAACCTTCTAGCTGTTATAGCTAGAAGGTTTAATATAGTAGATAGTCTAATATATAGCTTCTAAGGGATAGGTAGAGCCGTCTCTATAACCTTTTTAGCCGAAATAAAAGCGCTGTCTAGTAAGTAGTGTTTAAGCTCGTATCTAAGTCCTAGTTCCCCGGCGTCGTTACCCTAACTCCTTCCGTTAAACGGATACTACGGCTACTCTCTCTAGTGTTACTAGTTCTTCTAGGGCTAGACTAAGTAGTATAGCGCGGTAAAGCACATATATACCGCATAAATCTTATTCTTGCTTAGCTAATTCTTGCTTAGCTAGCGATCGAGTTCTCTTTTAGTAAGTTCGAAAGAAAACTAAAGGGGCCGCTTAGGGAGTTATATATACTATTAGCGGCTTCTATAGTAATAGTTAAGTTAAGAGCAAGATATAGTTAGATAACAAGGGTCGCGTCGGAGATACCGAGGATAGCACACTATAATTAATTTAGCGTTATTATCTCGATGTCTTCTCCCCTATAGAATTCGTTAGCTTAGTAGGTTATTWTCTATTTAAACTCCTAGATGTAGTACTGTTTCTTTAGCCAAAGTCTATTAGATTATATCAAAATTTTATAATAGCTTCTTTTACCTTAGTTCCTTAGGCCACTTTATTTTAGTTTAGATAGTATAACCCTAGATTACTTAAGCGTCCTAAACCTAAGGTTAAGGCTAAAGCTACGGGGCACACTCTTTATAGAGATAGTATAGAGGGGCCGACTTATAATTTAGGATTACTACATTAAGGTATTATTTACTCGGCAGCTATACGAGCGATTCGAACTAGGCTAACTTATAYATAGATACCGAGGGCGCCCTTTACGCCGACCCTCGCTAGGCGACAAGCTATATTATAGAGGTTATAGAGATGGACTTAGCAATGTGCGGTCTATTTAGAGCAGACTATAGAATAAAGATGTATAATATCGCGTCTAGCGACGGTCGCTACTAGTTTAGCTATAAATTGCTTAATAAGGGAGTAATAGATTACGCTATACGTATCGCAATATCGGATTCGGCTACGAACGGGTCGCTTAATAGAAGTAGTCGAGGTAAGTGTTTAAGTAGACTATAGTGCTAATGTTACTAATAAGTAATAGATTTTTATTTAATTAAGGAGAGTAGTACGGCTAAAGAAGACTACGGCGCTACGTACTTCTAGCCTAGTAACCGGGCCTCTAACTATTAGGAGAAAGGCTACTATCTAACCGCCGCCTACGAAGGTAATCTTAACGTAGTTATAGAGCACGCTTTCTCCGTATAGGATACTAAAAGCCGCTATTATAGTAAGTAGTACTATCGAATTAGTCTATTAAGCTACGTTAACACCGTTAAAGAAAGATTACCGGCGGAGGACGAGACGTTCTTCGGCATCGTTAACGTAATAAATGGACTATTAACAACACGAAAACGATCGCTTTAATCTTCGAGTATTAATACTATAACTACCCCCCTAGCATCGGTGCCGAATCTTATACTAGAACTGGAGCGAGAAGTCCCCTATCTAGTAAAGCGGTAAAGGCTAGCTAAGTAACAAGTATAGAGCCCTATACTTAAACCTATATCTACGCCTAAGTTAACGCCTCTACTAGAACTTAGCGACTAAGCTTCCCGTCCTACCGCTAGTAACGGTCCTATCCCTAGCCCCCTAGGTGCTAACCGTAAAGGCGGTAGTGCTATACGCCTAGTCCTACCTCTAACCGATCTCTATAATGTAGAAGATAGCGACGGCGTATATATCTAGGGAGTAGTCGAGGCCGATATTAATAAAGGGCCTTAGTCTTACTCCCTACGATTATACGTTCTAGGCATAACGGCTGGCGATGGAACCAACATCAACTATAAATCCAGCCTTGGCATGTCTTGTCAGATAACCGATCCCACACTCTGCGCTACCCCAAACGACCGGACTGAACACGAAAACGACGGAACATACGAAAATGACGAGACCGAACACGAACACGACGAGACTGAACACGAAAAAGACGAAACTAAGGAAGACGACAAGACCAAAAATTCCAGCGACAATGATCCTCGTGTTGCATGTAGTGATGGCGTCATCAGCAAGCGCAATATGCGCTCACACAAACAGACGCGTTTGTCGTGGTTGGAGTCCGACGAACAACGTTTACTATCATACAAGAACAAGATGGGTATGGTTTGGGTAGACATATTCGAACGTTTCCCAAATCGTACGCCTGGAGCAATTCGGTTGCGCTATCAGATGTTAGCCGCTAGAGAAATGGAGTACGAGGTAGAGGAGGTACTGGAATCCGTGATCAGACAGAAGAAGTTGCAGTATCGTGCAAAGTGGACAGGATACAACAATGACCCGGTATGGTACGATGCGTCCAACTTCAAGAACAGCGTTCAAAAGCTCTATTCTTTTCACAAATCCAATCCTGCGCAACCAGGGCCTCCAAAAAGGCTGGAGGACTGGACGAGGTGTTTCATCGAGGACAGAGATGAGGAGGACCACTCTGACGACGATGAACCCTGTGATGAAGACGCCAAAGAGGTACTGTGTAGTAACATCAGTGTACTGCTGTCTTACGAATAATCATTCACGTTAGGAATATAACGATTGATACATTATCTGAGTATAAATCGACTATTGTAGTGTCAAATTTGTTGCTAGGTGCATGAACGAACAAGTTTCCTTGGTACTGGGTACCAATATCCCAAGACAGTGCGAGAATATTCAGAGACGATTGATCGATCCTCGACACAAGATAGTATTCTGTCGCGGTGTGGAAACAATACATATGGAGGAAGAATTGAAGGATTGAACTGAGGTTCTATTGGATGTTGCTATGAACAGCATATATAGGAAAACAGAGGTGAGGTGTACGACGTAGTACGTAGTACAAGAGAAAGACTCCAGAACCATGATATGATTCTAGTGCTGATTAGCACCTGCATCAAGCAACATCTTGACCACCTGCTCGTGGCCTTAAACTAAAGCTGCCTGCAGTGCATTGCTATACTCACCACCCTGCGCGTCAGAATCAGGGAAATTGGAGGCCACCACAGCGACGAATCGCTTCAACAGCYGTCACGGGATATTGCAATGATCAGCGTTACGAAGATGAGGGCTGAAACTCAGGAAAGTAAAACACCACCTAGCACCAATGATGCTGCCAGAGGGGGAGACAGATCAGATTTTCAGCAACGCCATGGCCGTGGCCTGACGCTTGCATCTGAGCCCAATCCAGGCACTGTGACTACAATTACCTCTAATTCGGCAGATGACGGCGAGCTTAAAGGCTTGCCAAGGACATCATGCGCAGGATTGCAGTCCATCTGATACCACATCTGATAACTTACGGTACTCAATGGGTGAGCGGCCCACCCTCGCCAAGACACCACCAAAACGCACTACAAATTGGCCCATTATGGCGCCCTCTAGGCTAGTAAAATAAACAACTACATCATATACTACTCCTGTGCTACATCTGCGTTATTGTTATACGTGCGCGAGTGGTGTCCTGTGCTAACAACGGCAACAGTGCTTGATACTACAGCCTTACGGAATCAACGAACAGTCTGTGACCATCTGCATCACCAAAGTTACGGAAACTGGATCCCGTCGTCTTTCTCTGAACCCAGTACTTCGCAAGCCTCACTACAGCATGCTCTAGTCCGTCGCGCCGATCCGTGTCGGCTCTCAACATCCTGGATGAACTCGACAGTTACGTGGCCCTCGAACTCGAGACTGAGGATCGCGCTCCTCCCAATGTCTTCTCTGTTGCTACAGAGGACCCTACGTACGAACTGTGGGTACACTATCAGGTCGCCAATGAGTACCACATGTTCTGTCTTCAGTCCTGGCGTACTACGCTGCCAGATCATGCCAGCGTGCTCATCGGCTTATCGGGACGCATAATGGAGTATGGGGCGATTGACTTCGAAGAGGATAGGATCCAGAAGGCAAATCCTCTGTGGAGGCCAGATCTGCCTTCTTGCGCAGACTTGCCGCCAGCCAGCTGCTGACCTGGACCTGTGCTTCCACGGCTCCATCATTGGGCGGCTTAACCTCAATGCCAGAGAACAGTGACGCTGCTTGTGTAGATTCGTCGCTCGTGTGACTGATGGTGGCATTTTGCAGGCGGTGGTAGAGGGCGGCGTATTTCGGGTGGAGGTGAGAGTAGCAGAAGCAAAAGTCGGTCTTGTGGAAGAGGTATTTCTCGGTGCGTGACAACGGGTCCATGGATGGCGGTAGATACGCGGGCTGGATGCTTTGCGATTGCATGCTCTCACGTCGGAAGGTGTCACGGCCGGCAGCGCTAGGGCAAGGTCCAGTTTTATGTAGTGCAGAGCTGGGTGCGTTGCAGCACAGCCTTCGCCCGGTCGACGACAAGCGCACACAGTTCTGCCGACCGCTCGTCGCTCTCGTCGTAGGCATCGTCGTCACTAGGCTCGTGGACCAAGGCAGTTTGGAAAGCTGGCTCCTTCTCCAATACATTCCGAAGGCAGGCGGGTGTAAATCGCGACGCAAGGCGACGGCCGAGCCATTGTCGCAATGCGCGAAGCGCGGTGCAACGTCGGCGGGAACTAGTAACGAAGGGTTCGAGAGAGGATCTTGTAAGATACGAGGGCGAGCGATCCTCAGCAGCGTCTTCTGCCGTATTGGGCGCGTAGAGCGCTTGCTGCCGGCACTAAGGCTGCTGAGTGTGGTCCGCTCAATCAGCAGACAACAACAGGCGCGGACGCGAGGCGTGTTGGGCGGCGGCTGTCGTAGTGATATTGGACCGGGCCCGTGTACGGTGGTGGAAAGTTCATGAGGTTGTTATGGCTCTGGTGCGTGGAAGTAGCGGCAATCGAGACAGCCAATCAAAAGCCGCCAAGCAACACTCTCATGCACGCTTTGTGTGCGCGCCGCTTCCGCTCATCCGTCCTGAACACCCCGGCACCATCTCCAGATTATATCCTCTATGCCCGTGGCATTGAAGACGCTGACGATGACTTCAAGGAAGTCGATCACTACCCAAAGACCGAGCTTGAATGGTTGGCGACGATAGCTTTCAATTACGCCGTGGACTACTTCTTGCAGGAGAACGACAGTAAGTGTAAGGATTGGGCAGGTAAGGCCTTGTTGCTGGCGCAGGTCGCTGAGGGATGTGCTTATGGCGAAGTATGCGATGCCAAAGTGGCCGCCGATTGAGTCAGGTGTGGAGTGAAAGGGCCCCTGGTCGATGGATTTAGCGTCTGAGCTAGCGTGGAGCTACGAAAGTTTTCACACGGGGTCTAAGGGACACTCATTCAATCATGCCATCTCGAAAAATGCAACGCCATTCTCAATGGCCATAACGCTTTTTTTGTCCATGTTTGATGTATGGTAATACTCTAGGCCATGCCTCTACGTCGATCGCATTCAAAATCTCGCTTTGGCTGCCAACCCTGCAAAAAGAGACATATCAAGTGTGGAGAAGAGACGCCATCCTGTCAAAAATGTATCCATCGTCGCATAGAATGTGTGTATCTGCCTGCAGAAGTGCGTGTCTCGGTCCCAGCTTCGCCAAACCCACGCTCTCGCGTACCGAGCCCTGCAAGCCTTCATGTCACCGACGAGGTGAGACCCACCAGGATGCAAGAGCTGCATCTCATGGCACACTTCACTACTTCGACTTGCTACACCATGTCTAGTACGAAAGACCGTATCGAGGATGTTAAAATATGGCAGAAGGTCGTACCAGAGGAAGCGCTTCGTCACGAGTTTCTCATGGATGGTCTCCTCGCGTTATCGGCGCTCCACTTGGCATCGGAGAATCCAAAGTCGCGATGGGAATACACGCAGATGGCCATGCATTATCAAACCTCAGCTCTATGCGGATACCAGGATGCGCTCCAGAATATCACGAGCGACAATCACAACGGCATATTCGCGTACTCCGTCATCCTCAACAATCTCTCGCTGGCCTTTCCCAACGTATGCGCAGACCCAGCATCCGCCTCGCACGCAGAAAGCATCATCACTCTCATCGAACTCGTACAAGGAACTGGCCGCATCAGTGCCACAAACGTCGTCTCGCTGCGCTCCGGCAAATTCGCAGCCTTCTTCGTCAGCTTCCCATACCACGACCATCCACTCGCGCCAGACCCAGACGTCGCACACGCCCTATCCCAGCTCCGATCTCACGTCGAGTGCATACGCGATCCAGCGGACGACTCGCGCCACCGAGCGTACATCACCGGCATCGACGCGCTGGAGACGTCCTTTGGTCACATAGCGGGTGCCCAGCATTTGGCGCACGTGCTTGTGTGGACGACGATGGTGAGTAAGGATTTGGTGAGGCTGTTTCAAGGGGGCGATGTGATGGCTAGACTGGTGTTTGTGCATTATGGGGTGTTGTTGCTTGAGGCGAGGGGAAGGTGGTGGGCGAGGGAGACGGGGAGGTGTTTGATAGGGGAGTTGGTGAGGGATATTTGTGGGGAAAAGCCAGAGTGGAGGGGATGGACAGAGTGGGCGGTTGGGAGGGCGGAGGGGGTGGGTAGGGACAGTTGAGAGGTTGAATTAAGAGTGGAAGATATGTGAGAGGATATGTAGGACCTGACTGTGTTAGAGGTACGTTGAGTGACTAGTATAGTGAATCTGATTGTTTGCATGTCACATCTAATCAAGTCTAGTATCATCAACTCGAACCAAAAAAATCCTCTCCTACAGCCTCGCCTCTATCCTACAACCAAATCACTCCACCAGCCCCAACTACACCCTCACGCAAGATCATAAAGTTGCACTCCCTTCCTCAACGCCCTCGCCTTCCCGGGTCTCAACAACGCCGCAATCTCACTCGGATGCGCCCACGCCAAAATCGCCATGCAAATCCACATGAGCACCGCGTCAAACACATACAAGAACACTTCATGACTAATCAGATACCCATCGTTTCCCTGCGCATACTCAATCAACCTGAAAATCGACCGCACGAGGATCAGCGCGCTGGCAGCGTACAGCACGTAGAGATGCTTCTCCCACGGCGGCTGCCGTGACAGCACGCGGGACGTCGGGACGCGGCGCATGCTCACGTGGAACCAGAGCGATGTCACGATGAAACATCCGAAGAAGAGCACTTGCACGACCAGCCCGCCGATGATGATGTTCTCGCCCATGTGCATGGCTGAAATGGTGCCGCTCGCCATTATGCCTCCGCCTAAAGTACGTCAGCCTCCTCTCCTGTATTCTGGTGTGCGGTGCCCAACATACCAGCGCCCCGCAAGAGGAAGGATATAACGTCGCCGATTACGAAAATCTTTGTGAGCCAGCGCTTGCGCATCTCTCCTATCTCACCGTATAGTAGCTCCACGCAGCGTTACTCAAGTACTATCAAATAAAGCAGATGTAACGTACTTTCAGATACAGTGCTGACCGAAATCGATTTCATTTTCTTGCAAATTATTTGTTCACCACGCACGGTCGTTGTTTGAGGAACAAAGGTTTGAATTTTTTTTTATAGCTCCTCTTTACTATCTCTACAACTTCGCCACTTATTAACCCGAGTTAACTAATCGTGTACAAGGGCCTCGAAAACCCTATGCTCATTAATAGGAAGGTTATGTCTACTACGGTCTAAAACAATATAGGTCGATCGCGGGTAGAATTCGAGTAGGCGGAGGCTATCTCGATAGCCTACACTCTCGTCTTATCGACTACATATAATAAGTATAGGTGTAAACGACTTTAGATGCTTATTGCCTAAAGCAAGAGATATCTAGTATCGGCGTAGGTCTACCCGGATCGGATCTAGCACTTCTTTATCTACCGCGGCTAATACTAGAAGGTAAACTTCCTTATATTTTGCTTTAAGTAACTTAATATAAGAAGGTGTTTAAATAAGAACGTTTCTAAGAAGTGCCTTGTCCTCGCTTAATATAGTCGATATAATTTGCATATTTAGAACTAGCGGTTAGAAAGTATCGATATTACGTAAGCTGTCCTTTAGTTCGATAAGCGGCACTCGTAATAGTAAACTATCGACTTGTTTACTATACTTTTAAGCGAGTGCACGGGCGAGATAGCTACTATATAATAAACCGACAAGTAAGAATTTTAACTTTCTAAGCCGAGTATTAATAAATTAAACTAGACGAAGATGTATATCGTCTAGGTCTCTAATATTGTTCGTAGGTGTTATACCTATACCTAGAAGGTTTACGTAGATCCGGCGAAATCCTAGTACTTTAGCGAAAATCGGCTTAAAGTCTAACTCCTCGACTTCCCTATTTATTTCCTACCTATAGACTAATAACACGGGAAGTCCGTCCCCTATCTCGTGTATAGATAGCAAAAAGTCTGTTTCTATCGCTACGTAGTATTATAGTAGATAGAAAGCAAAACGAAACTAGTGTAAATAATTTAGGTAGAAGTTATTTAAAAACAATTACGCTATCGTAAATTAAACGTAGAAATTTCAAGCTTAGATGTTTAGGCCGCTAGCTCTTACTTATATAAGCGATACCGGCAATAACGGCGATAGCGGTAATAACGGTAATAACGGGATATGCTAGATACGTACTATTACTAGAACTTTGCCGATATTAGTCGAGCTTAGGTAAGGCTATCCTAGTACGATAGGGGTTGTATTAAAGCTAAGAGTACGCGAAGGGTAAGGCTAGTTTTATAAAGAGCTATACTTAATCTAGACGCGCGTGGATTTTCGCCTACGTTTATAGTTATACGCGATATAGCTAATAAGCTACTAGCTACGCGCGGCGGAGGCTTAGTTAGCGTCTACTAGCCGCGCAACTTCGTTAAGCGTACTAATAGTCGTATAACGCGTTTTAATCGAGCCTACGATAGGTAGAGGTCTCTCTATAAAGATCTAGTCTTAACTAGGAGCTAGTTTAAGCTTATAGAGCAGATAAAGGCTAAGTACGGCATCCTAGACGAGGGCGTCTATAACTTCGATAAGGCTAGCTTTATAAAAGGCAAGATTATAATCTAGCTCGTTATAATAGGATTAGAGAGGAGAGGCCGCTCGAAGGCTATTTAGCCTAGTAATCGCGAATAGGTTACGGTAATCTAGCTACTAGCTAGGCTATCCTACCGTTTACTATCTTCGTTAGTTAGTACTACCTATCTACCTAGTATAAAGATCTAGCCTTTTAGTTACGGACTTATATCTAATATAATTATTAGGTACTAAGGAAGCTTACGAAAAASCACGACCTAAAGAAGATAGGTAGAGATAAGCACACCTAAGATTAATTAATTAAGCAAGCTAATAGCCCCCGGCTTAATTAATTAGCTATTTGTATAAGATTTAGCTAGATTAATTAAATTGGCTTAGCGGAAAGTTGTTAGCTTAATTAGTAGCTTAGGTGCTTAATTCCTAAATAGGAAAGTTGTATATATTTTTTAGTGTTAAGTCTTAGCCGTCGTCCTATATATCTAAATCGTCGTCTTCGCCTATCTACTTACTAAGCTCGTATAAAACGTCTATCTGCTTGTCGGTAAGCTTTAATTAGCCTATATCGTCGTCGTCGCCGCTACCGAAACCTACCCGTCTCTATCGTCGTACTAAGTATAGTACTACTAATAGCTTAGGTAATATATAGCGTCGGCGAGGCTCTAGTAGATCTCCGAGCTTACTAAAGACGCGCCTACACTTATAGCTTAAAGCTAGTATAGAGAGCATAGTAAGCGCTATCTTACTAAGGTTAGGATATTAATCGCTATACTTACTAATAATTAAGCTAATTAATCTATAAGCAAAAGCTTAGATTATAGCCTGTTTTTAGAGTCGTAGGCTTAGATTATAGACCTATTAAGCGGTAGATAGGCAGCTTAAACTAAAGATTAATTATTATATAGCTTAAGCCTAGCAAAAGTGAGTTTTCTCGTAGCGCTCTACTTATAGTAACCTGTTTATATACTAAGGTTATACGCACGCTCTAATTAAGCTTTAGTTATAGCTACTTCGGCCTCGTAGTCGCTATCTCTAAAGCTAGCCTTTATCTAACACCGTACGCACTATATACTAGCTAGAAGCTTAGGGCTAAGACCTTAGCGGCGAGGCTCTAGTATGTTACTAAGCTCGCTAAACAGGCGCTCGGACTTATAGCTTAAGGCTAGGATAGAGAGGATGTTAGGGGTAAGCTTGCTAAGGTTAGGGTAGCTATCGCGTATACCTACCTAGTATTTATTAGGGTTATTTACGGCGTCTAATCCCTTTATAGCGTAAGGCTCGCTCTAGTACTACCTCTTAAACTTATCTAGGTTATCGTCGTCGTCGCCTAGGGTAGTAAGTAGGTCGATCGCGTCGTCTATATTACTAATTATTTATAGGCGCCTCGCTTACCGCGGAGCCGTGTTATACTCCGCCTATAAAACTTAAAATTGCGCGTTAGTAGTATCGAGCTAATTAGGGCGATTAGCCTATAAAACCTCGTAGTAGTTCTTATAGTATAGGTGTAGAAGCGTTATAGCGTAGTAGGTAGGTAATGGATCGAGCGTAGATATTAGCCTTAGCCTAGGTAGTACGTAGCCGTAGGGTCTATTTATATAACGTATCTATAATATAGCTAAGGTAAGAGGTGTTTAATAAGGTGGAAGTAGCACTAGAGCACTCCTACTTAGCTACGCCCTATCCCTCTAGGGATACCGGTATTCTTATCGATAGGCCTTAAGCCTATTAATCTTACTAATTAATCTTCGATCTCTAGATTAATTTATAGGCTAAAATAGGCGCTATAGGCTTAGATTATAGGAAGGTTAAGCTACCCCTCGGCTTGCCTTAAAGGCTTATAATCGGCTTAATTGTTAGTAAGTATGTTAATCGCGTAGCCTAGACTAGTATTATATAGGATAGGTACTATAACGGCGTAGGCAAGATAAAAGATAATTCGTATTAGGTAGGAGACTACTTAGAGGTATATAGGAGTACGTAGGGACTTATACACCTAGATAGTCTAATAACACCTATAGGTCTAATACGAAAGGATATTAAAAGCTAATAAGCTATCTATAGGATTAGCTTAGTAATATATATCTAAGTAATACGCTACTATATCCGTATAATCCGGGAACCCGAGGTATCCGGTGCGGGTCCGGAGTTAATCCGGAGTCGATCCGAAGTCGCTCCGAAAGTTAATAAGGGGTCGTATAGTTCGTCCTAGAACGAGGAGCTATAACCTCGTTATAGGTGCCTTACTAACGATTAGCTCGCGCTTCTACTGCTTATACTTATCCTCCTTAGTATTACCGTATATAGGATTAATAATGCCGTTAGTCGCGTCGTTAATATTGCTTAGTTCCTTCGGTACGAGTATATAGTAAGGCCTTAGTAACGGTAGAGACTTATAATCCGCCTATAGTACCTAGAAATTAAGATTATTAAGTGCTAGCTAATTAGGCTTCTTAGCCTACGCTTAATCGTAGTAGTGTTTATAGCGAGGATAGAGTATTATAGTAGCGTAGTAAGCTAGCGAGTCGTTAAGGTTAGCGTAGTACTCTTTCGCTTTAAGTAGCGCTACGCGTAGATTAATAGGAATGTAATCTTTAGGTGCCTTGTCGTAAGCGTCGTAGACTACGTAATCGTAGTAAAGGAGGCGAGCTTCTAATTAAGTAAGTAGAAACCTAAACGTTTGGATTACCTTAGCGATCGCGCTAAAGCTATACTTACCACGTCCGTTAAAGCGCTTTATACACTCTTTAAGTGGCCTAAGAACCTCTATATAGTTGGTAACAACAGCCTAATCAGCAGCTGTGAGGCCGTCTGATCTTATCCACTGGGGTAGTAGTTGTAGATTTCCCTACAGTTACGGCGGTTACTATGGTGATCGTGACGATGCTGAATGATGCAGGGGGGACTATGGTGACAATGACGGTGCCAGGCACTGTTCCTGAGCCAGGGATGGCGCTGGTACCCGCTACAGGGCTGAGAACAGTGGTGGCCACAGTGGGAAGTGCAGTGACAATGGCAATACCGGGCAGTCGCACAAGTCCGAACACCCTGGTACATATGACAGACTAATGGTTAGCCTTTCTGTCCGCTGGACAATATCGCGCTGCGATGGGCTTGCTTCACAGAATTACTACTGAAGTCGGGTCTGGATCAGAATTTTGATTACATCGACATGTGAAGGATAATACAGGATCTGTCAAATCTTCCATCTGCACTTCAGCAAACATCTACAAGTTTGTGCAACTTTCGCATTCAGCCAACGCCCAGAGTTTTGGGAACAGGACTGAACCACACTTCGGAGGCTAGACATCATATGTAAGGACAAAAGGCTTTCCCCCTGTAATTTGGAAGGTCGTGTTTCTCGCCACGACCTCCCCATTCACCTTGAAAGCACCTCCAATATATCCGTCTTGCGATGACAGAGGTAGGATGACCGTGCCCATAGTGCAGTTGGGGCTTGTCACTTCTAACCTGGTTATGACACACCTTGTAGCATTCCAAGCGACGGAGATCTCACCCCCTGGCACGGGGACTCTACCCCTAGCCCACTTCAGGTCAAGCGTAACTGGAGCGACTCGCCATTCGGTGTAACCTGGAGTTACGGGCTTCACTCCCAAGACATGATCGCTGAGCTCCCCAGTGGGACCTGCAGCCCAACCGTGGCAGAGGCTAGTCACCCTCCCAAGTGCAGGCGCACCGGCTGCGTCCAAGGTCTCCCAGAAGCATCCGGTGTAGTTGACTCCCTGGGGGTCGGCCATTGGCCCCCATAGGCTTTTAAGCAGATCCATGGCGGTCTCGCCATCGTCGGCCTCAAGTGCGGCACGAAGGTGATAGGCACTTGCATAGGGACTGATGAACTCCGAGAACCCAGCTTTGATAGTTCCATTCGAGAAAGCAAGAGGACCTTTTGGTGTTGAAAGCTGCTTGAGGGTACTCAGAACGCGGGATGAAGTGTGGTTGAACTTGGTCACACCAGCGAGAATGGCCAGAGCATTCGAGTCCTGTCCGAAGCCATTCTCGATGGACTGTGAGAGGTAGTAGGCATTGAGTTCATTCGACCAAAGGTTCTGGTCAATCGCGATCCGCAGAGCATCAAGGCGGGCAATGTATGGCTCGGTGTCGATGCCACCATCTGCAAGAAGCCTGATGCACTCCTGAAGTGCGTATGCGTAGACCATGTTGAACTTTGTGACAACACCCGCCTGTGTCGGATCGTAATAATTCCAGTCGCCGCCTAAGGCAGGGTTGGTGATGTTCAATAACCCACTTTCGGGCAGAACTTGAGAGTGTGCCCATTCCAACATGCGTACAGCTCTGGGTGCCCACTCCTTTGGTATATCGACATCGCCAGTGCGCATGTAGAAGTTTGCAGCTGCGGTGAGGAGGTTGAAAGAGTAGCCAATCAGGCCAGTAACATTGGCATCAATCGRAGTAGAAAGTGGTTCTWGTTGGATCTTTGCTGTGGGAGCGAAGAATCCTGGGGTTAATTGATAGGAACCGAGAAGATCGAGCGTGCCTTTGATGTAACTGATGCCATTAGTACTCGACAGCGAGGACACGAGCGCAATATCCAGATCGCCTGMATACGCAATCCGGTCGCGTTTCGAGCCGTCAACCGTTGTATCCTGCGGATTCGTACCCATCAGAAAGTCGGGCAAGAAAGCCTCATCTGTCAAAGATGCTGAATAAATGGATAGACCTGTCGGAGTCATAGCAGACAAGTTGCGGAAAACGGCAGAGTGACCGAATGACGCGCCCAATCCAAAGGATCCGACAAATGCAGACGTCTGCGAAAATTGAAGAACTGGAACCTTGTTGAAAGATACGGCTATGTTATTCATATCCACAGTGGCTTCCACTTCGTGCCAGGTACCAAGGGTTATGTTTGCTGGCAATTTTGCGACTGCAAGTGGAGGAGAATCCTCGGTGGATCCGAAGTGTGCTGAGATCGATCCATTATCTATATTGCAGAAGATATAAATTCCTGAGTTGAGAGTGTCAGCCAGAACAGAGAATCCTAGTCCTTTGGCAATAGGTTTGACTTCGAATACAAGCTGGTAACTCATCAACGTAGCAGCGACGCTGCCTGACAGAACTTGAGGGGCTTGGCTCTCTACCAAGGAACCTTCGGAAGAGACCTGCCAGAACACAGGAATAGATTTCGCGGGAATGTCGTTTAGTTGAACGGTTCGCGCTCCAACCTTCCAAATTTGATTGAGGTCCTCGTCCGAGGTCTCAAAGTATCCCGGCAGTTGATCAAGGGATGTGTTCGGGATTGTGGGCTTCACACCGACGTTCTTCAATACCAGTTCGCCTGTTGTCGAGAGGTTGAGCTTCTGGTATCTGAAGCCTCCCTGAATGAGTCGATTGGTATGTATCATGGGCCCAGTGACATTATACTGATTGACTCTGTAGTTGTCCATAGCTGCWGCCAAAGCGATTGGACCATCGCTCTGCAACATGGATCAGTATTGGTTTCAAGCACTTGCGGGGTAAGACTTACGGTGTAGAAACTGTCCAGTACCGCTTTAGTCTCGCTATACGTGATCTCTAGACCAGAAGTGTCGCCAGCAGCTGAAAGGACTTCGAAAGTGGGATGGCCCTCGACATTAGCCCCATAGTCAAGGACAACCACGCCCGGAGCCGTAGTAGTCCCTTTGAGGGTAGTAGTATCATTTGAACCAAATATCGCCGGCAAGCTGTCATTTGCTCGTTGCACAGGATGCAGTGACCGGGAACTTGGTATTATTGCCGCTTCTGCAACTGTCAGGCAAGCCAGCAGGGCCAGTTGAGAGAAACCCATGATTATTGTGGAAGTCTTCGACAAGCACTGAAAGTATGGAGTAAGGAAATAAATGAAGCGAAAGTAAACTAATGCGACTACATGTAGAGCGGTTATTACGTATATATAGGAGATCGTTAATCACTTTTTTCTTTTCCGAGGAAGGACTACGCGCCAGAGGCTTGGTTATGCAATCTCCGATATTGTTTTAGTAAAGCTTCGGGTCGCCGTTCTCATCGTCGTACTACGCTACCCGTGACGTATTTAGCGATCACTTATTCGCTCTTCGCACTCCGAACCATCTAATCCGTCGGATATTTTTCCGTCCCGCTCTAACTCGCCGCGGCTCTTATTCGGCATAAAACTAAGTAGCGTATTCAAGCACGATCCACCTAATAAATATCCGTAGGTACGGCACTCCGCGAGTCGTATTTTAGTAGCCTTTAGTAACCTCGTAACGAGTGCCCGAGCGTATTCTTATAGCTAATCGCTAAACTACCTATACGTAGCATTTACGAATACGACCGCGCGTAACCTAATTTAAGGATCGTCTCTTAGCGTAGTAGGTATCTCGCTAAGCCCTATACACGAAACGACTAGAGAGAACGACTAATTATACCTTCCTAGTAGCTTCTCTCGATACGAAAATCAAATATCGCACTTTAGAAAACTTATTAATTATCTAGGTCGCTAGATACGCTAATTAACTAATTACTATGTCTCTTTACTAGTACTTAATATTACATCGTCCTACTAGCGCGCTCTAGTGCCTTAATAACTATTAAGGAAAGAGTACTCTAAAACACAACTTTAATCTAAATATAAAAAATGTTTATTTCCTTGCTTAAGGATTAGAGGAAGGAGACCGAAATACTAATAGTTCCCTTAATTTAGGAAGGAAAGCATTACTACTTATATAGAATCTACGCCTATAAAGTTATATTTATATTATTATAAAGTAGCCCTCGTAATTACTATCCCTTAACCCTTACGAGTCTATTCTTACGCCTTCCTCTTACTCGTTCCTACTAGGCCTACTTAGATAGGAGTTTAATCTCGTAGCTAGTAGGTCTTCTTTTAATGTCGTTAACGTACTAGATAAGAAAAATGAACATAAACGCCGCTATTAATAAAGCATTAAAGATGTATAAGAAGGCCTCGTAGGAGATAAGAAAACTACTATTACCCTAGAGGTACTCGATTATACGAAAGACGCTTCGAATAAGAATTAAGGCGCTAGTAACATATAAAACGATAAAGTAGCGCTTCTAGTCGACTATATCGGAAGTTATAAATATGCCGGAATAGGTAAAGCGATAACTTATTAGAAAAGTATAGCCGTTACGAGGAAAAAGCCAAACATAACAATCTAGATAAGCAGACCCGTAATAATGATTTTCTCGCCCATGTAATAGGCTTTAAGGTGCCTACTAACTGTTCGCCGCCGCCCTAGCTTAAAGGGTAAAAGAGACCACGTCGCTAGTAACGAAAATTCTCGTCACCCAGACTATGGGTATAAGAGATAGTTGCTCGGCTCGTAGGGTACGAATGAGGCGACCAAGGATCATGTAAATGGAAGCCGCGTAGGAAAGTTTAGCGACCCTTTCATGCATCGAGCCGTAACTGCCGTAGTGCTAATATCGGCGAGACTACAAAATGCCTCCAAGATCTGACCCAGCCCCGTGCACGCTGCGCTTCGCGACCGATTCATGGACGAAATTTCTTTCTGCCTTTAGGAGTCTTAGGCCGGCACTACGCCACTGAAAAACTCTTAGCGGCGCCCATCAAAGAGACCGGAGAGCCAATCAGCAAACAATCAATACGCTTTCAATCGTAACTACTGTGGTCTCCGACACAAGTATTATACATGGCCTGTGCGGTGGCTGGTGCTCTAAAGCCTGTTTTCGTCAGTTTGAGCCAGCTCTTGGCGCAGCTCTAGCAGTTACTCAGCATGATCTCGTGTGCTGATTGGCCTGGCAACCTCGGTCTATCTGTTCTATTGCCCCTGTCTCATCCCTGTACGCACTAACTATGTACACTACTTGTGTCGGAGACCACAGTATACGCTTATACGCACCTATACGCAAYTCGCAACGCTAGTGCGTTTCAGCAGGGGCTAAGTCTAGGTAGACGCGTTCGCCTAGCCTAGCCCTAAATGGAGTCTTGGCTCATGGCATCATCGTCAAATAATCCTTCATTTGTTCAACAGAATCTTGCAAAAGTGCCGGAGGGAGCAGACAGGACTACTCAAATCATCAGAGCGAGTATTCGATTCGTGGACTATGGCTATGGATGCTGCGGATTCCAAACATTTCGACTCTTCATCGGATAGAAAAGGCGTTGCTTGCGATGCACCACCTCCCTATGAGTTGCACTCTTCCAGCGCTCTCCTCAGCAGCTCTTGTAAAGTGCAAGGTATCAGACTCTATCTTCTGCTTAATGCATAACGCTGACTCTGCGACGTAGCGGATGGGACGCTGAATATCGATATTGCTTCCTCAGCCCCATATGAACTTGAACAGTCGCTTCCTGTACGCCCACCAGCGGTGGCCGAACCAGATGTGAAACCTGGAAGATGTCCGCCATTGAACGTCGTTGTGCAAGTGGTGGGCAGCAGAGGAGACGTGCAACCGTTCGTCGCCCTGGGCACCGCTCTTCAACGATACGGGCATCGTGTACGGCTGGCAACTCATGGCGTCTTCGCCGATTTCGTACGAAAGTCGGGTTTAGAGTTCTATCCTATTGGCGGTGACCCAGAGGACTTGATGTCTGTAAGTGCTTACGTCATTGTCACGTGTAGCCTTGCTTCTTACCCATCGCGAGTAGTATATGGTGCGCAATCCCGGCCTACTCCCATCGCTCGATTCCTTGAAAGGAGGGGATATTCCGCGGAAACGGCGCATGATTCACGAGATGTTACAAGGCTGTTGGAAATCTTGCTTCCTTCCAGACCTTGTCTCGCATGAACCTTTTGTTGCAAACGCAATCATTGCGAATCCACCATCTTTTGCACATGTGCACTGTGGGCAGGCTTTGGGGATTCCTGTCCATATGATGTTCACAATGCCCTGGACGGCAACGCGTGCATTTCCACATCCGCTCACAAATGTGAAGGCTAGGAATATGGAGCAATCACAGGCGAATTATCTTAGTTATGGCATGGTCAACATGATGACTTGGCAGGGGTGAGTATTGTGTTTCCACTTAGTACTTTGCGGTGTATCACATTGTCCTAACGATGTCACGGATGAACTAACTTTGGTATCTAGGCTAGGCGATGTTATCAACAAATGGCGAATAGAGGATCTAAGTTTGGAACCTGTCCATGCGAGCATGGGTCCCGATCTCGTTGACTGGTTGAGATTACCTGTGACCTATTGCTGGTCGCCAGCACTAGTTCCGAAACCCCAAGACTGGGGTTCCAACATTGGTAAGGAGGCCATTTCCAGCGCACGTTTTCACCGCCCTAACATGCATGAGATATTTGTGGTTTTTTTATGAGRGACGAACCTGCATACCCACCTCCTGAAGACCTTGCGAGGTTCCTGCGCGCGGGCCCTGTCCCTGTGTACGTTGGATTCGGTAGCATAGTTCTGGAAAATGCGAAGAGAACGACCGAAATCATCCTTCAAGCTTGTAGGATGGCCGGAGTGCGGGTCATTATCTCGAGGGGATGGAGTAGATTGGGAGGAGATGATCCCAGTACAGACAACGTCTTCTATTTAGGAGACTGCCCTCATGGTAAGCGCTTAAGGAGTATCTGAACGGAAACATTGCTAAAGTCCCGTCAGAATGGCTTTTCAAGCAAGTCTCTGCTGTCGTCCATCATGGCGGAGCAGGTACGACAGCTTGCGGCCTATACAATGCCCGGCCGACCGTCGTGGTGCCTTTCTTTGGCGAGTAAGCGCTCTATTCTGTGCAGAACCGACATTTTTAGTGTCTAACTCGAGCGACAGTCAACCCTTTTGGGGCAATGTAGTCGCCAGCAATGGCGCTGGACCAATCCCGATACCGCACAAGTCTTTGAGCAGCAAAAACCTTGCAGATGCAATTGGATTTTGTTTATCATCCGAAGCTCAGCAGGCTGCTCGAACCGTCGCAGACCAGATGCGCCACGAGCATGGGGTTGATATGGCCGTACAGTCATTCCATCGTCACGTCAACGCTTCTTCTATGACATGTGACGTGTTACATCAACATGCCGCAGACTGGGCTTACCGCTCACCCGACTCAGAAGCAGATATGAAATTATCCCATGCTGCGTTAAGAAACTTGACCTCCAGTGGAGACCTAAAGCTCACAAAAGCAATGCCGTAAGCCGCTTCGCCCCTCTTTAGAAATATCTGAAATGCTTATTCTAGCAAGGTATCGGCCAAAGGAGTACAACATGGAYGTTGAGCGATGGGACCCATTGACCGCGGGTGCATCCGCTACCCTCGGCATCCTGACTGACTTCACGTCCGCACTTGGAGGTACCTTCGTCAATCCTTTTAGGGAAGTCAGGCAAGCTCGACTCGCGGGTGGCGATGATGGTTCGGCCAGCTTTGCAGCAGCGAGTGCTGTGAGCAAAGGCTTCACGTCGATGGCGTCTAGCTTAGGCAAGGGCGCTCTCGTGGGCATGCCTTTGGCACTCGCAGAGGGGCTTAAAAACGCTCCAAGGCTCTATGGCGAGGATGTCAAAGACCATGGCAAAGTAAAGGATTGGAAGAGTGGAGGAATCGTTGCCGCAAAGGTATGTATAACTCAGGATTAGCACTACGCTTACACTAATACATTCGCAGAATTTTGGAACGGGTTTTTACGAGGGAATTACGGATATCGTGACTAAGCCGCGGGATGGTGCGAAGAAGGAAGGTACCCTTGGTTTCGTGAAAGGTGTAGGCAAAGGTTCGATGAATCTGGTGACGAAACCTGGAAGCGGTGAGTGATATTCAGATCTATTCACTGATGACGCTAAGTGATGACATAGCAATGTTCGGACTGCTGGCTTATCCTGCGCAAGGAATCTATAAGAGCATAAAGGGCTCTGGAAAGAACAACACTACAGACAGAATTAGGGCTGAGAAACTCGCAAGTTTTCAGCGCCAAGTCCCTACTGGGAATTCAACCGCGACGAAGCTTAGTGGCATAAACCAGTAGTGAACTCCGAAAGTATGTGGCATACAATGGATCTTTATACGTATGTCCTATACGTCGTTTCAGCTCAAGCTGGTCTTCTTTCGTTACACTGTTAATCGTGGTCGTAAAAGTGGAATGTATAGGGTTCAGGATGAGGGAACGCCTAGCCCTACACGTATTCACTGCCTAAATGTGCTTTCGTACGTTTGTATGGGGTCTATAGTTCATGCCGAAATGTACTAATAATAACGCTATTGTTAGGCAACCCCAAACGTAATAATCGGTAGAACACCCCTAAGAGGGGTAACGTATAGGGAGCTTAGAAATACACTATATACCTCTATAGGGCTGTTAGATAGTGCTATAGTTGTTATTTGCGGCGCGTAGTATCGTACGCGCTATAGAGTAGGGTGTCGCTAAGTTTACTAATCGTTACTCGCGTCGCTAGTATTATCGACTATAACGGTATAACTAGAGGATAAGTAAGGAGAGGACATGCCCTTAATTAACTATCTACGGTAGGCCGAGCTATATATATAGATAGCCGTATATAAGCTAACCTACCTCGTACTAGCGGTTAGGCATAGCCTAAACCGTTATACTCCCCCCCCTAGCTACCGTAATTAATAAAGCTAGCTAATACTAATAACGTAGCTCTACTAGATAACCTAAACGCCGACTCTCTATTACCTTCTAAAGTATTATTTTCGATGTCTAAAAGTAGAATATAATACTTCTTAGCATTTTAATACCTTCGAAATATAGAGTTAATCGCTTTAGAGAGTTCCGTATTATTTGCCTTATCGATGTAGTAGGTATCTACCTAGAAGTATTCCGGACCGTTACGCTTAGCCTACTACGCGTAGAAGCGAATCTTCTTATATCCCTCCTTATTAGGTATGTCGGTGTCTTAGCATCTCGCTCGTATAAGGCTATAAGTAGTCGCGTATAGTAAGCGTCTAATAGCGTTAACGGCCGCTAGAAAACTATAGCTAAGCTTATCCGCTATAACGTCCGCGGCTAATATCGCGCCCTTTCGCGATATTCTTCTTAGTATCTTTATCGATCGCGGGCCGATTAACATACTCGTTTCTTTCTTTTAGACTTGCTTAGCATAAATGGACTCTACTCTACTACTTACGGATGTCTAGGCCGAAAGCGAGTTTAGGAGCGACGCGTATTTAGGAAAGGCATAGGTAGCTAGCGTGCGTACTTAACTTATAAAGTAGGAGAAGCTAGCCCTTATAACGTACTACTACATTCTATAAACTATTAGCTACGTAAAGGTTAACTAAAGTATACGACATGCTATAAGTTAATATATTTTAGAAACTACGTAGAAATTACCTTTTAACTCTATTACCGGTATGCTTATCTCTTCTATTTCTAAGAAAATCTTCTTTTACATCTATTAAGCATATAGAAAGGAGCGAAGCAAACTAGGTAATTATAACGTCTACTAGAAATAGGCTTTAAAATTAGCACAACCGATTAGCCAAAGCTACATTAATCTTATAAGCACAAATTTTAATTAATTCCGCTCGCGCTTACATTTTATATCCGTATATTCTATGTGCTAAAACATTTACTCTCCGCTATAATTTCAAAAACATTCCTTATTTTCGACAATATAGGCTTATATTCGGGCCTCGTAATAGACTTCGTTTTTAGCGATCGAAACGACGAATCTAAGATGATTATGCTATATAAGGGTAATCGGGTCTATATTGCTATCTCTACTAGAAACCTCGAAGAATCGCCTATAATTAGGAATCGATATCTATACTTTCTTCGGGTAGTAGAAGCTTATAAGTTAGACGGATTAACAATTAACGACCTTTACGACTAGATACTAGAAGGCTATGCCAAAGAACTTTTATAACTTCCTACTTTAACCTGTTACTCGATCCCTACCCTCGAGGACTATATCTACTTACCGACTTTCTACTACGCTTTATATGCTACCGATAATAATAAGTTCGCCCTCTATTATAGCATAGTCGACTTAACGGGGAATTTGCTATTTAGTGTCGACGTTAATAAGGAGCTTTACTCGCTATAGCCTTCCTTCGCGCCTTCTTAAGTCGAGATTTTCGCGGATTCGGTAGAAGATACGCTTTCCCGGACTTCTCGAAAAGTTCTAGTTAACGGGAATATAACGTGCTTTTTTAAACCTTATCGTTATTACGATGCCCTTCTAGCTAGGCACGAGCTATAGAAATACTCGAACATTAGACGGGTAAAACTAGACGACCTATAAATCTCTCGGCTTTTCGGGCTTATACGCGACACTTTAGGGAAAACCCTTAGGCTGCTTTTATTCTATATCGAGTCGGAATCTATAGTACTTAGATGTGCGGTTAGACCCGAGACCCCTCTATGTTTACGATAGCGATAGGCCGAATAAATTACTAATACCTTAACTTGTCTACATAACGCTAGCATTACCTAGGGCGATGCTAAACTAGACAACATTCTTATTAACACTCGGAATAATGCGTAGATTATCGACTTCGGAGGCAGGCATATAGAGGATTAGGTCGACCGAGACTTAGCGGAGACATTATAAGGTAATTAGCAGGGCCTATCTAGGATTATCGAGTTTATTTATCGATGAATTTAGCTTTTTAAGTCGGCTTATTATCTACGCAAATAACATGTATAGGTAAGAGCGATATATACCCTACTACACGAATAGGGGTGTTTCCGGTCTTAATAGTTCTATAAAAGACTAGCTCTAAGGCTAGGCGAGTGTGTCCTATTAGCCGCTTTAGTCTGTCTATGCATCGACCTATAGGACCCTCGAGTATAGCCGCCTTCTATTATAGGTCGATTTACACGAAACCTAAGAGTGTAGTTAATTTCTAATTTCTATTAGTATATACTTAGCCGCGCGGTAACCCTTATAGAGGCTCGATTACAATACTAGGCGATCGAGGTGCTAGAAGACCTATTTTATATCCTACCGATTAGAACTAAGTATACATTTATCTTTTTACTTATTACTCTCCTCGAGAAATAGCGATAATGTACTATCGCACCTATAGGCAATACCGCTACGGGCACCGGAGGTATAGCGAGACTATATATTACGATAATACTACGTATAATAGGGGAACTAACCGCTAGACTATATATAGTAACAACTAGAGAACAACTATAGCGGTATTAGACAACAATCTCTATAGCAGAATAGAGTACTATCTTAAGGATCTTAAGTAGAGGGGCTAGATATATTATAGATGCGGAGAACTAAGGAATAGGATAGACGGATGCTTAGGCCCTCCGTATAGCGGGTAGGCATATAAGCACTATATGTGCACTTAATGTTAATACTCCTAATACTAGAGGTCGTTATAAGTCGTAATATAGCGTAGCCGAACTTCCGCTAAGCGTGTAGCTAGATAGAGGACAAAATTAATCTATTGCGTTAGATCTTCTAGTCCCTAATAGACCTAGGCCTTCGCGTAAGCAAGGCCGTACCGCTTATAGAATTTAGAGGATAGATTTCCTAGCGGACATATCCGAATAATCTCGACGACATTCGGAAGTATTTAACGAAGCTAACGGAACATATAGCCTTATCGTGTAAGGTAGATATCTCGTTAGACTTTAAAGCCGGAAGCCTATATATATAAACTAAACTAAGAAGACGAGTAAGCGAGAAAATGTGCCCTAAGGGGCAGCTGCTTAGGTCTTCATTTATTGCCGTTTATATCTAGCCTCTAGATACGACTCTATTCTTACGGTATACGATTTAAATTTGCTCGCGTAACCTCCTCGTTGCTAGGAAGTCGATATACATATATTATTACTACGAATTAACTGCTTAGCAAAACGTAAAGGAACAATTAACAAATCTAACTAGAACCTATAAGTGTCTTACTTGTATTAGGGTACGATAAAAAGTTTTAAAGTTCCTTATTAAATTAGCAAGCCTAATAGCTGCTAGATCTACCTTAAAGTTAACCGGGACAGGGCGTTCGTTGCCTATACTTAGGTATATAAGGGCATAATCGACAGAAAAGGGAGTGCCTTTCTAACTCTAAGCGATAGCCTTGCTTTAAAGACGTGTATTTTAGACAAATTACGGCGAGAAGCAAGGGTACACGAGTAGGACTAGAATTAGGTTAATAAGGAATTACTAATCCTCGCCTACTAGCATCCTAAGGATAGCATTCTATATCTTAGTGCTAGTCGTTAAATAATTGCTGCTATATAGKGGTTTCTTAGCATTGCCGACATATCTAAATTAGAGCGCTTTAGAGCTTTTATAGTAGATTACGAAAGCGCCGAAATCGTAGTACGCGAGGCCGCGAAACTTATAGATACTTAACCACATCTATTCGATAACTTCGATTTAATCGTAGCGGGGGTCGGAGGCTAGCGTTTAAAGTATATATAAGGCGAGTAGCATACTACTACCCTATGCCGTATACTTATATTATTAGTCTTAGTAGACGGCCGCTACTTAAGGTTGCCTCTATAAGCTACRATGCTAATCTATACCGAGGCGTGGTTTAGCGGTTACGTAATTATCTTTACGAAATTCCCGAAAGAAATGTAGTATTCTAAGCTAGCTACCCTTTGTTATAACTACTTTAGAAGCATTACCGTTAGAAATCCTCCTCTATAACACTTAGTAAACTTGCTCCGAACCTAGTAAAATAATTTTGAATTAAGAGCTGCGGCGTTTCCATCTCTAAAAGAAACGTATTAAGTTATCTATTTACCTTATCGTTCTTACTAGTATTACATTTAAAGGTACTAATAATCTATCTACCTTAGAGTGCTTAAATCAGAGCTAGTTTAGTAGGTATAGAGGCATTACTATTAGGCTATTTCTAGACGAAAGCTATAATGTGCGGGTATACTTTTAGCGCTGTATAAAGTATAATGCTTTAAGCACGGTGTAGCTAGACGAGGATTCCTACGTAGAAGAGGTTATATATCGTCTTAGACGATAGAGCAAAATTCTAGTCGAACGGCTACTATATTCTAACGAAGCTATATAGTAGGGA